TGCATGGGCGAGGACGCGTGGCGGATGTACTGGGTACACTGGAACACGCGGAAGGCCAGGCTGGCCAGGAAGTCCCGGGCGGACAGCAGGCCGGCCACGGGCCGCAGCTGGAAGCCCGTCCGCTCTGCAAGGGACACGGAGGTCTGGGCCCCAGGCAGACCGGCACCCACACTGTACCTGCCTGCACCCACTCTCCTCCCACCACAAAGGCTGGCACTGAGTCACCCACCCCACTTCACCCCTCCTGCCCCACGGGCTCGCGTCTGCCCCACACACACCCCCTGCACGTCGCCCATCACACAGGCTGGCCTCCGCGTCACCCCACCCCGCTCTCACCCCTTGTCATGCAGGCGGGCGCCCGTGTCACCCCATCCCCACCAACACGCCTCCCGCCCCGCAGGCTGCCCCCTGTGCCATGCCTGCCCCCCACACCCCTCCCGCCGCAGCGGCTGGCCCGCTGGCTGCCGTCCCCGCCCCCACTGCGCACCCTTCAGGAAGCGGGAGACGTCCTCCAGCTGGGGGATGCTGTCCTCCCGGTAGCCGCTGAAACGCTCCAGCAGCGCAAAGGCCTCTAGGTGCTCACGGCAGGCGTGCGTGGCGTAAAGGCTCCTCAGCGTGGTGTAGACCTCCTTCCTGTGGGCCTGGGGGCTCAGGGTCCACCCCACGCCCCCTGGCTGGGCTCCCAGCAGCCTGTCCTGCACCCCTCCCTGCGGGGCTCTCACCGCCCTCTGAAGACCCCAGCCCCTAAGAGGGGCCTTTGCAGGTGTCTCTGGGGGCGCCCGGAGGCGGGGCCATGGGGGCCGCCTCTCAGCAGCTGGGGCTGCCCGGACAGGACAGGCAGCCTCCTCCGCCCACCCCAACGTGCTGGGCCTTGGGAAGTCCCTCCTCCTCCTGGCCTTAGGCTCTCCTGCTGCACCAGCGTCCCTAGGGGTCGTCCCTGGGGCTCTCCTTGTTCCTGGATGCAGCTGCAGCCCGGGGCCTCACCAGGTGGCAATCTCCTCGGCCGTGTACTCCACGCGGGGGATGGGGTCGCCACTGTGGAGGGGTCAGCGGTCAGTGTGCGCCCCTGGGCGGCCTTGGAGTGGGGAGGGGAGGGAACAGGAGGGTGCGCCCAGGCGGACCGTGCCAGACCATGAGCCGGCTGTGAGGCCTCGGCTGGCCGCTTCACCTCTGTGCCTCAGTTTGGGGACAACGCCAGTGCCCACCTCAGAGCATTTTGAGGGGCCCGCCCAAGTGCACACACACAAAGTCCTGGGCCAGAGCCTCCGAGGGCAGGGGGCCTCACTCCGTCCCCTCCCGCCCTAGGCCTGGCACGAGGCTGCAGGGTGGAGGCTGGGCCCGGGGAGGTCCTTACTGCTTGTACTGGAAGGCAATCTCAGCGATCAGCTTCCTACGTTGGCGGTACACCTGGTCTGAGAAGCCCTGGGGAGAAGGGGGACGGAGGTTGTGACACGGGGTGGGGCCAGGCCGTGGGAGCTCCTGCCAGCAGCCCTCCCCGTCCATTGTCAGGGTGGGACGCCGCTCACCGGGTGGTCCAAGTCCAGGTCGGGGTCAAACTTGGTGACCAGGTGGTGACACTTGTCCAGCTCTGACACCTTCCGTGGGAACCAGGGGGCTTCACAGAGGACAGAGGAGGGGGTCCCGGTGGGCATGGGCCCTGGGACCGTGTGGCCCGCCCTGAAGCAGCCTCCCCCTGGACTTCCCCAGAGGCTCAGGGGCAGCGGGGCTGCGACAGTGGTGACGGCAGGTGGCCCAGGCCCAGACACAGAGGCAGAGAGGAACCAGAGGAGGAGGGAGCCCAAGGGGAGAGGGCAGGGGTGCCCCAGCTGGAACCCCTGCGCCGGGATGGCAGGCCGTGTGGCTGCTCTCAAGGACAGACCGGCCTCACCCTTGTCCTCCCTGGCACTGCGCACGTCCTCGGCCACTTGGCGCACGGAGCTGAGCAGGGCGACCAGGTCCCCACGGGGCACCTCACAGCGCACAAAATACTCCAACTGGGCCCCCCCAGCCCGCGGCCTCTGGGCGGGCCGGGTCTCCAGGTGGTGGATCCTGGCCTCAAAGGTCTTAGGAGACAAAAGCAGGAAGATGGGAGAGAGAGGAGGAGAGAGATGGAGATGGGGAGAGCAGGAGAGGTCGGGGAGAGAGAGGGAGGGGGATGGGGAGGGGAAGGAGAGG